GGTCGATGATCACCGGAGTGAGATGCTTATTGATACAGGGTCACCAATTTCATTGTTGTCTATTGAAGAATTTTCAGGTTAGGTCTTGACACCGAGAAACTGGCTCGGGTGGATGTCGACCTAATTACTGTCGATGGTAGTCAGTTGGAGATACAAGGTCAGTCTATGGTCGAATTTAAGGTTGATGGCTTGTGTTTTGGACTCAATTTCGTCATAGCAGATCTTGATGGTTTATCTGGAATTTTTGGCATGGATTTCTTTGAGACTTGGGTGTGATGTCCTCGTTACAAAACGGACTCTTAAGACAAAGAAGGGTAGGGTGAAGTTGTATAAAAGGACAACCAAAAGCTGTGCTAGGATAAGGATTGTTGATAAGGTCAGAATACCTGCACAATCGGAGCAGATAGTTTTTTGTGAAACTGAGGGTCTAGTACCCAAGTGTCTGAGTGTGATAGTGCCCAACAAGCATTGGCAAGGTCAGGGATTGCTCGTTGCTAGAAGTTTAATTGACATTGATCAGCATAAGGTGGCTATTTCAGTGCTTAGCATCACCAATAAGGATGTCAGTGTGGGACCATCCTCGGTCATGGGTACAGTGGAGTCTGTAGAGAAGTGTGTAGAGGTTGGTGAGTCTGGTCACTCTCAAGCCAAGTTAGATCTTCCACCCCATCTTTTACCCTTGATTGACAATAGTTCTCCGGAGTTGTCAGTTGATGAGAGACAGGCTTTATCAACTTTTGCAACTGACTATCAGGACGTGTTGCTTGCATGGTGGCGTAATGTCGTTGATACATTTGAGGTTGAGGCTCAGTCATACGAGAATGAGACAGGCTTATCTGTAGGGACCTTACAGGCTGATAGTATCTCTCAGGAAAATGTTTCAAATTGGTTTCCTGTATGGGCATTGGATGATCTGTTGCTGTTTCTCCTCAAGACTTATAGGGCTAGTGTTCATGACAGCACGGGTTGTAGTCCTAACTTGCTTATGACAGGTAGGGAAGTCAGGATGCCTTTAGATCTTATGATGGGTGACCCACCGGGAGTTCTTCAGGCTGACTGTCCTGTCGAGTATGTCGAGTGGTTGCAGAGGTCAGTACAAAAGTGCTTTGAGTTTGCCAATAAAAATCTTGGAGTTTCCACTAGTCTACAAAAGAAACATCATGACATTAATGTGAAGAGTAAGGATTTTGTAGAAGGTCAGTGGGTTTGGTGTTGGTATCCTCCAAAAGCAGGTCAGAAGCTGGAATTGGGTTGGACTGGTCCCTATCTTGTTTGTGGGAAGTTGTCATCCCTTACCTACAAAATACAAAAAGGTAGCAGTACACCATGCATAAGTGTACATGTGGATCACTTAAAGCTGTATGAGGGAAATGATTCACCTAGGAATTGGCTCTTGGAGCAGACTGTTGATGACACAGGGGAGATAACCATGGAGGATGAGGAGTCATTGTCTCCTATCCAGGCAACTGGGTTTGATTCTTCAGGTAATGATAGTGGGGAGCAAGTGCTTCATACCCGCTGTGGGAGGAGGGTCAAACCTTGGGATGTTTACTCACCTTCCTAAGGATAAACCCAGACCCTGGGAAGAATCTTTTGTTCTGTTTTAACTATTTTGATGGAGTGTATTTTCTGTATTAGAAAATGGAGATCACAGTAGCAGAGGAGGAAATAAAGGTGTTTGAGGTGATCTTGAGGGAGCCATTCCCGCCAGGAGGCATGCCTTTCCCCGTCGCCGCCTGTGGGACGTCAGTGTTCCAGCGCTGGAATGGTCTTATGGACCATTGGCAGTGGCGTCACCTAGCAATTAAAAGGTTTTATCAGTGTTCGAGGTGTGGGTGCAGAGATCGGAGCAAGGGCCACGCTAAGAGACACTTGCGGCAGCATCCCCCAGGTATGGACCTGAAGGTCAGGGAGGCCCCCAACCCGGAATACATCGACCCTGGAGATGCCCTGCCACCTGCACATCCAGAGTCCCTTGATGTAGCCCGGGAGCAGGAGCAAGCTCGTCGCCGGAGTTTGCCTTCAAGAGCAGCCAGCCAGGTGGAACAATTTCAGAGGGATATGGAGGAGTACCGCGCTGTTAAAATGGAAGATTGATTTTTTTAAAACTTTTTTGTTGTTATCCTTATTTTAAAAGTAATCGTATTACTTTTTGTTCAAGGGGGGAAGAATGTAATGGGGGAGGATTATGATAGGTGCTGTTGATATTAGAAAGGGATGGATTAGCGTTAGTAACTTAGTTGGGGGTATAAATTATAAATTCTGGTATATTAAATGGATCTTTCTTACCAGTGTTCGCGGAGACACGCGTGTTACGGCAGTCGCTGGTTTGTTTGGTTTTTTGCTTGCCGTTTTGGTGCAGTGATTGGCTGCACGGACTGGAAGGTTCCATTCCAAGGGTGGGGGTGTGCTCCTCGATCTTCAGGACAGTAAGATCAAGCCCAAGATCCCACCCAGAGGATATGGAAAGAGTTTCCCAGGCAGGAAATATGGACCTAAATCCATTCGATGATTATTGGAAACAGATGACAACTTTCCCTGTGAAGGTCTTCCAGGGTCCCGTGGGCAGCCGTTTGTAAGATTTTAAAGAGAATTGGACTATCATAATGACCAACCAGTAGATCATCAAGGTCAACAAAGAGGGATATTTTCTTCATTTCGCCAGTAGGGCAACGCTTTTAGCCCCAGGATCCCAAGTTTTCAGCTTCATTGACAGCAATAGACAAGCTTTGGGACCAAAAAAAATGTCATCGAGTTGATCTGAGCTGATTGCACAAATCAGAGCTTCAGTCAAGGGAATACAGAAACACAAAGGGGCCCAAGACGGCACATATCTAGGTCTTGTTAATCCCCAACTGGACCATTATCAAGAGGTCAGAGCCAGGATATCACAGTTCTCTATGGGGTTGCAGTCGGGTTTTATTTCAAATGGAGTAATATACACTATCCTTCCTCAATTATCTGCATCTAGGTGTTGGAGAGAAGTTAGGGATTCCTGGCTGCACATGCATGAGAGTCTTAGGAATCAAGATGCTCTTATTTGCACAATTAATGATAGATAGTTAAAGAGAAGAGGACTTATATTCTGTGATAAGAGGATAAGTTCAATGGTGAGAAAGTGGTCGAAGGTATACACTCCAAAGACGTTCACCCCAGGCTGTTTCAGTCGGGTTGTTTCACCCATACAGTTTCACCCCATTTAGAGGTTGTTTCACCCCAGCAAATAATTATTATTATTATCAACTATAAAATTGTTTCAATATTATATTCATCTATATATAGTGTTGAAACAGCATATTGAGATTGTTTGAATAATTGTATCAGTTCATATTGGCTGTGCTGGATTGGGTGAAGTCCTTCAGTGATGATAGCAAGAAGCTGCCTTGGACAGGAATGAACTTGTGGAGAGATCCTTGTCTTTGTACTGTGTTCAGAGGTTAAGAAGCTTCTCATGGCTCTTCTTGGATATCTGCCTATTGTCTCTTGATAGAAGACCATTCTGAACCAGGCGCACTTGGGTTTTCACTTGGTCAGCCTCACTTCTCAGGAGTGGCGCAAGAGCATAAAATGGTAATCCAGCACCACCACAAATTTACTCATTGGGTATTTAAAAGGTATCAGTTAAACATTAGTTATCAATGGGTATTAAGTATGTAAGGGATGAGTCTATACAAGCACTGTGAACTAACATGCATGCAACATTCTTATCAAACAAGTATTACCTGTGCCACATATTCTGTGTTGATGGCGATGACAAGTTTCACACTACAGTCCATCTTGACGTGGTCTTAAGCGATCTCTTCTTGCAGCTGAGGCAGATGTCCAAACATGCAGTCGCCATGGCAGAAATGCAAGTGTAATGTCCAACTAAATGTTGACTTATTTATATGTTCATTAAAGTTGTAAGCCTGACGAGATGAGATAAGATGAGATTAATCCATTCTCCATGTATACTCAATTAGTTGGGTGAAACAACCCCTAATATGGGATGAATTGACCTAGTTTGGAATTTTGATGAAACAACCCAGGTGAAACGACCCCGGGTGTAACTACTTGGGGTGAAATGATCCGGGAGCGCTGTCTCCAGACAACAGAATCCCAATGTATGTTTTTTGTGAGCAGATATAAGTGTGCCCCTGGCTGTCTGCCAAAGGTTTCTCACAAACAGACACACTCGTTCTCATTGTTTTTCTTGGTTAGTGAGTAATGATTGCTAGAGTCACCAACAGTTCAAAAAGTTGCTATGTCTTTCCCTAAATCTGCCAATATGGAACTATTGACCTTATTTCGGCTATATGCTCAGTTCTTTCAAGATTGTACAAGACTGATCTCTTGAAGAAAACCCTCATCCTTGGCATGTAACATTATAAAACAGGACACATTTTTCAGTGTTAATAAAGCTAGTATAACCATCAGTGCCTGGCGTAAACGCAAGTTGATTGAAGCTATCTTCATCAAACGCACAAAACCAGCAATAAACAGGGACCAGGGTGTCTACCTCCCAAATGCATGGTACATAAAACAATAAGACAATACCCTACCCTCGTCACTGTTCCCATGTATTAAGCATAATTTCTATGTATACACTGCTATTACTTTACATTCTATACATTTATAAATACGTCTTTGTACATTTCTAATTCAATCAACAATTTTGTATAAGTATCTGCACAGTTCTAAATTGATCCATTAATTTTGCAGTAAATGACATCTTATATATTCATAATAACATGTATTCTATGAGCCATGTCATCTGTATCTATTGACCACCACATGTATTGCGTCGTCATAGCATTGTGACGTCATAAGCATTGTGACGTCACGGCCAGAGTTAACAGTTACTGTTCAGTTTACCTGATGATGGGGCCAGAACAAGCCCTGAAACGTTGTACTCGAGAATAAAAAGAAGATGTAACCCAGAAAAAATCTCTATGTTCATCAAATATCATCTTCTAAAATGCCAATCAAGCATCTAGTATAACCATTGTTTTTTAATGCAGGGAGGACAGTGTTGAACTGCCAAGACTTCAGCTACATGGTGGTGGACAGTACTGGAGAAGCAGAGAGAATTTGGAGAGAAGACATCATAACTGAATCAGATGATGCAAATAGAATCATTAATGTAAGTTGTAATCCATTTTATGCAAATCAATTGATGCTTTACCGTAGTGTCACATGAGAGTTCAACAAGGGGTGGCACATAAATTCTGAGCTTAGGAAGTATACACATGGAAAAAGTATCACATATATTTCGTGGTGTCAGTCAATCTTTATTTGCACTTAAGATACCACAAGCCTATAGTACATGTATGCAGACAATTTTATTATTAGGCAGTAGAGAGTACATTTTTTCTGTGTTGAAAGGCATGATACAGAAACATTGACCATTTTTCTAGATGTTCCTTGCTAGAATACGTGAATAGAGATTTACTTTATACATCATAATGTTTATAAGTTTATATTATTTCTTAATATTCTTATTTCTCAAAGTGTGGTAGGCTGGACAGACACAAAGAAAATGATAATCATCTGCAATTAGACTCAAATCACACATTTTACATATTCTTTTTTTATTCCAATATATCTACCTGTTTCTATTAACAAACCATAGGATGAGCAACATGATTCTATATTTCCGAACATTCAAAGATGATAAATAGGTTTCATTGTATATAGATTGCTTAAACATTCTGTAATAAAACATTTATTTGATACAGATAATTGGTCAAGCCAATTCTGGAGATATATGTCTTGTAACCTTTGTTTAATGGATATGAGAAAATTTGGATGCGAGTCTATGCACTGCTCTAGCCATTTATTACCGAAACCAGTAGAAAATAGTAAATTTTTAACATCTGTGACCCAATTACATTTTCCATTTCATACAAAATCATCACATTGTAGCATTTGTTTGGTAATCTGTAAGATGGCATATTTAAGATTTTTAACCAATATTTTACTATTTATATTTTTGATTCAACAAATAACGAAAATCTACCACATAAACGATTATGTTTGAAGTAGTAACTTTCACACCGAGGAATCTTTTAATTGCATACAATGTCCTTTTTCTAGTGTATCAAATGTTTGGAGTCCCCAAATCTCAAAACCCTATAGAAGTATGGGACTAATCTTAGCATAAAAAATTATCAAAAATGAACTGCTGCACCGACTGCCTCATTGCTATATCGGAACTACCTACCCTACTCAAACCAGACAACTCTACTTGCAAGTGTGGCACCATAGACCACTGCATTGATAGCAAGAAATGTGTTTTGTGGAAAAACAAAGATACACCCCATACAACCCTGCAGTGACTCCTGCTAGAGGTTCCAGAAGAAATCAAGATCCCCAACTGTAACTTGAACATAGAGAACATGTACGACAGTGACTGTCTCCTCTGGTGCATATGATACAAATTTGGTAGACAATTGTCCAGGCAAGAAAGATTCTTGTATGTTCCAGCTGGGAAAGCAGACTCACCACCTGGACGGGAAAATATTCACCATGCCCCATTGCCAAACTACGGTGGACCAAAGGATATGGAAGCGGTAGCACCATCATGCAACAAACACAGAAAAGCTGCAGACATTACAGAGGGAATCTATGTTTGCAAAACGTTTGCTGTAGCCAAATACTGAGGGAAGAACAGACTGTTGCTGCTACTCTCTTTACTGACTGGAGAAACTATTCCGGTATATGGCTACAAGCTACATGAAACTATTCGAGACAATGGTGGAATAGAAATGATAAGGTTGCTTGGTGGGCCATTTCTGTGTAGGCTAGGCAAAGTCTGCTACTCTCCCATTTCGAAAAAAAAGAGGATCTACAAGTATAGTTTGTGTTTCCCAAATGGGAAACCCTATTACCCGACAGGATGTCCATAGAGCACTGGCTTGGGCTTCTTTCCAAGGGAAGTATGGACGGAAGTATGGAACTCAACCCACCACCAGAGTATAGAGAGGCCAGATACCCAAAGGAGAGGGTTCTCAGAAGACCAACAGGCGGGTATATCTTCCACATAGAGGCTGAGAGAGACTGGTCGACAGTAGGCCAAGCAAACATTCCTGTTCATACCAGTCTACAGCAACAACCTACTGGGCCTTGTATGGGACCTTCGTGGGTATACGTTCTTGCAGGTGGTTGGCAAACCATTCCTCTGTACCTTTGGCTAGACAATGTCCAAGGAGGACAGGAAGGCACACATTGCCAATTTGGCTCCACAGCCCACACAAAAGTAGTCCAACAGACAGGAATACAAAAAGTAGTCCAACACACAAAAGTAATCCAACACATAGAAGACAAAAATGTGTTTCTGTACAATTGGTGGTCTACAGGTAGATGTAGAACACACTAGGGCTTTCCAAAGAGATGGAGAAACTATATTCTAGAACCCCACAAAAAAAAAAAGAACTCTTTTTTGTCTAGTCCATATCGAAAGGATCTTTTTGTTTAGTATGGTTGCACTAGTGCGTTGTTTTGCATGATGTACAAATTGGTCCTTCACTGTTGCCAACATGTTTGTATTTAGTTTTCGCAACTTTCCATACTGCCATCCATATATACTTTCCATATACAGATATGTATGTCCATTTTTGTATAGTTTCTGGCATGTCCAATATTTTGTATGCCTTCTTTTGTTTCTTGTACAATCTCTTCCAATTCTTCTTCTTCCTCCTCTACAAGATGCTTCCTCCTCTTTGGTTTAGAGCTTATGTAGAGCTTCTGCCAGCATATTTGCAGACTCCTTTGCACGTTCCTCTAGACCATCCAAACAATTGTGGAAATTTTGGATTGTAGGTGTCACTACATCTGTGGGTGGCAAAATGTTTGCAGGTTTTGCTATAGTTTTGTTTTCCATATTTTTTTCGTTCCATATATATTGTACAACCTAGTGGCACCTATGTCATATTTTTTCTCGTCCTCTTATGACAGACTTCACGGTTTCCATTACAAACCTTGTATCTACTTTGAACACAGACACTGGAATATACAATAAAACGGCCAGAATGAATAGAATGTGATTTTAATAACTGTTAAATAACTTTCATACATACTTATCAAACATTTGTTAAAAAACGAAGTGTACGGTATTAGGCGACCAATTGTTACTAACAAAATCACCTTCTCCAAATATCAGTACACTATTCTCTAACCTTAAGTGACATGAATTTGGTGATCCTGTTGAAGAACGTAATGGTAATTAGCTTAAAAATATGGTTGACAGATAAATAGTCCATTAGAATAACCACTGCACGCATTGCTAAATATTTTAATTACACTTTACTAACATACAAATATGTAGAAATGCAAACGTATTGGACAGCATACTGAAAATGAATTGGAATAATAACAAATTTTAAGCCTATTTATTCCATATCCATGTTCTTTTAACGAAAGAAATATATATATATGCTAATTGCAGATGGCACTGCCGATCAAAATTAGAGACCAAGAACTCAGTGGAAAAATCTTTACTGCTGTGGATTTAGCAAAGATCGCTACCAGAAACATTCTCATTGATGATGTGTATTCGAAAGTACGAGGCTGAAATTATAAAGGAGCTGCTTTTGGGCAGTGTAGACAATACATGTTATGGAATTGCTGTGGCCCATGTAATTTGTCATGTACTGAAACATCAGCAGGAGATAGATGGTGAAATGTCTATCATGCACCTTGGCGTCGGGTCCTGAACTATATCCAAGACCATTACGATATTCAACAGGATCTGAAAGCCGTTATGGAAATTTTGGAACATTGTGGTTGTTATTGAAATAAATGAATTTCTTGTTCAATAACTAAGCTTTTGTTCTTTTTTAAATGACTCTACCATTGATACTTTATAGATGGGGAAGAAAAGAACTTATACAAAAGAGGATCTCCAAATGGCAGTGAACGATGTCAATATGGGCATGTCGTTCAGAAAGGCTGCCAAAAAGCATGGAGTGCCAGTCATGACGATATCGGACCGTGTCACTGGGAAATCCGAAGGTGATTTGCATCTTGGGCGTCCCCCAACCATCTCCACAGAACTTGAAAACGACATTGCAAGCAAATTGAAATTAGCTGCATTACAGGGATTCGGCGTCACCCGACGCCACTTAATAATAAAAGTGGCGCGAATTTGCAAACAGCTTGGTATTAAAAACCCTTTTAAAGGGGGAATTCCTGGCAAGAAATGGATTGCAGGTTTCCTGAAACGTCACCCTGACGTGAAACTGAGAACACCAGCGGCGTTATCCACCGTGAGAGCCAGGATGCTAAACCCCGTCATTGTGGACAGCTATTTTAAGACTTTACGTGACATTATGAATACATTAGATTTAAACAACAAGCCTCAGTTAATCTGGAATATAGACGAAACTGGGGTTCCTCTAACTCACCGGCCCGGCGAAAATTTTTCGGCTCAAACTGGAATTAAAAACATTCCTGGCCGTGTTGGTAATGACCGTGACAGGGTTAGTGTTTTGGCATGTGTTAATGCCGCTGGAAACACAATACCACCAATGGCCATCGTGGAGAGGCAAGACCCAAAGATGTTTTGGGCATACAACACTAAACTTGGCGTTCCTGGCACTGTCTACACATACCAGGAGAGAGCGCGGATGGAAGATCAGCTGGGGAGAGATGGTTCAAGACCATTTTCTCAAGTATTGCGGCTCAGAGAGACCTCAGCTAATCATCCTTGATAGCCATTCGTCTCATGAGACACTGGGTTTTCTGGAGAAGGCACGGAGAACAACGTTACAGTTCTTCGTGCTCCCTCCCCATACAACCCAGTGGCTATGTCCACTAGACAAAAGCGTATTTAGTTCTTTAAGTAGGGAATGGAATTTTGGGTGCTCAGATTATATGAGCAGTAGCCCCAACAACATTGTTTGTAAGTGGGAGTGGCCGAGGTTGTTCAGAGCTTCTTTACGACAAAGCATTCACCGCCAGTAATATCATCAATGGCTTCCAGGAAATGTGGATATTTCCTTTCAATCCCACAGCCATCCCCAGGTCAGCATTTGCACCGTCGCAGCCCTTTGACAACGCTCCTACATCAAAGTCCCCAGTGAGCAACGGAAATAGTTGCATCGCGGTGACGAAGTCATCGGGTAGCTGTAGCTACCCCCTGAA